TCTCTAGGTAAGTACGTACCTTACTTACTTATAGTGTACGTTAAACTAAGGTACGTAACTAATTACTTTCTTACTTACTTTATATATATATATATATATATATATATATATATATATATATATATATATAAAGATAGGAGTTTACACTAAATAGAAAACTTCCAATAGGTGTTACATATATCTCAAGAACCAAGATATATATACCAGAGTCTTAATCTTGTTGGATTTTTATTTCCTTTAGGACATTTATCAATATCAATCTCAATCTTATATAATATGATATTTCCTTATGTGCATGATTTTGGATAATCACAATATCCAACAATCTCCACCTTGATATCAAAATCACCTACTCATCATGACAACTTCTATTGTATAGCTTTATGAATTCTTCACCTTTTTTCAAATAAAGCCCTTCATCATTATTGCTGAAAAATAATATTTGCTATCATATTTTTCCATCTCAATTAAAACGCTCACATACTTTTATCATGTGCTTTTCTTCAACCGAATACACAAACGTTAGCCTTGTATTGAACCAGGCGCTCTGATACTACTTGTTAGAATTTAAAAACATCCTTAAATGCCGAAACAATAATCCTAAAAATTGGATCCTACCAAGATCGTGTACTTATCCAGCTAAAAAGATAATTGGTGAGAGAATGAGCCATAATATGAGAAATAAAACATAAAACACGCACGCCACAAAAACACAAAGATTGATGTGGTTCATCCCAATATGCTACATCCATGAGTACGACAAACTGGAATCTGCTGTAGCAATGAAATTAACATTACAGATTTTGGGACAGAGAGTTGCCTCTCTAACTCCTGACAAAACCCAGTTGAGCAAACCCTTTTAGACCCATTTTCCTGATCGGCACAACCCGCCGATCTCTCATCTCTATTCCACAATTAAACTACTATCTCTATTTCACAGCTAAACCATTGTCCAGGAAGAGACCATCTCCATTCCACAACTAAACCACTGTCCAGGAAAAAACCATCTCCAATTCACAGCTAAACCACTATCTAAGAAGAGATAATCTTCATTCTACAACTAAACCACTGTCCAAGAAAAGAACCTTGAGATCAACCGATGCTCTCTTTCTCTAAAAAGGAAAACCACCAAAATATTTATAAGAATCGCTTTACTATAAGAAACCAGCCTCTCAATCTATAGGAGGCACATCAGCCTTTCAATCTATAGGAGGCACATCGAGGTGTTTCTCTCCATAAGAAGCTCTCTTTTCTCTGAAGGGGAGGCCTTGCCTCTTATGCATAGGAGACCCCTGCCTCTCTCTCTAGAGAAAGTCACATTTATCATATGGTGACCCAAATAGGGCATACAAACTCTCTGCACTTTCATCCCATATATATAAGTTTAACAGTCCACACCAAATTGAAAAATTCATATAGATGTTACAGATATCTCAATAACAAAGAGATATATCACAGAGTCCAAATTTTATTGGATTTCTATTTCCTTTAGAAAACTTATCAATATCAATGTCAAGCCTACATAATATGGGATTTTCTAGTGTGGGTGACTTATAATTACAATATCCAACAAGGTTGTCCAAGTAGCAGGACATTGACATTTTAAATCTCATTCATACTTTGAGCGGGTGGACATTCCTCTCTGAATTATAGTTAGCAAGTCTCCACTTAAAACACGCTTCTTTTTTTTGTTCAAAAAAAAATGAGAAATTATTGAAAATATACCTAAATTTTCGGTCAATTAGAAAAAAAAAAAAAAATTATACTTTTCTAAACCTCAACCGCACTTTTTTTTTTTTCTTCTCCTTATTTATTTATTTATTTAATTAAAATAGCCTTGACCTTTATGGTACTTAAAATGCCATAATGAACTTAAGTAGTAAACTTAAGAGGTGTCATGGTACTAAAAGTGCGTGGTGGCCGAGAGAGGTTTCATGGTATTTAAAAACCCTAACAGTCTATGTGGGATGCAGCCATGAGTTGAGGAGGAGAGGGATAGAGAGAGAAATCCAACAAAGATAGAGAGAGAAAGTGACTGGCGGACGACTCGGATCCCAGCCTCCTTGTCGATATAGAGGCACATACCAAAAATTAAGCTCTGTAAAGTAATCGTAATATCCCAAAGAGTAATTTCATACAACATAAAATCCCTTGATCTAATTTTAGAAACAACTCCGAAAATAGAGAGAGGGATTCGTAGATGCGATGGTAGAGAGAGAAAGAGAGCCGTAAATGGCGTGGGGTTAATGGCAGAGAGAGAGAGAGAGAGAGGGCGCAGATGGGTTGGAAGAGAGAGAGTTAAATGGGGGCGACAAATGCGAGAGATGATCCAGTGGACCCATCTACCGGGCAACAAATGGGTGCGCACGTTGA